CGATCTCCCCGTCAACGAAGCAGAACACCAATACTGCCATTTAAATTCTCAGTCCTTCTTCAAGGACTGAACATGTCCAAAATTACATGAATACTGAAGGACAATGAAGATAAAATAAATTCACACTTACAATAAAAAGTACTCGTTTCGTAAATTAAAGTACACAATCAAAATTCATTGAGTATTGACGTGAGAAAATGTATTGGTACCAGTCCGATAATGCCCATAAATTTCATATTCGATTGTCAAGTTTAATGCTCCCCATCAGAGTTTGGAGATCGATACTGTCGTTTGTTGCGCATGGCTGTCATGGCTCCTCGGCCGCCCCCACCCCACCACGTCACCCTTCCCCACCCCGCCCCGCACTCGCGTCATCTGCCGCAGCCTCGGCATCCCTCCAGCCGGGGGCGCTCTGAATGGACGCAACAGAACGAATCGCTTCAACGCCCGTGACTTTCTCGAGCCTGTTTCTGCAGGCGACTAAGAGCTACGCTGATCAATTCAAGTCCAAACAAAGTAGTGCATAATGCATTTAGGCGTCTTTCGCTTAGACTCTGTTATTTCCCTGTTCCACGTTCATCTCCTCCAACTTTCTTTAGTCGAGTATTCATTGTAAGATTTTATGTGAAAGTCATTGTGTCTTCAGTTTTATCATATGCTCATATCACTTAAATTTTTGACATTTCGGTTATCTCATTTAAAGGTGTTCACAATTTAACTTTATTGATTTTTCTTCCATTTTATTTTTATTTTGGGTAACAAACAAACCATGTTTAAAATATCATTTCTGTAGTCTGCGATTTGTCTCATTTTTTTGTAGTGCCCAGAATTCTATTTTATCCGCTATGTACCAAGAAGGTGCTTTTCTTACACATCACCAGCCCTGGCACCCCGAAGACTTTAATGTGGCGCCAACACTGCCACGCAACTGGCAAACGATACTGTGGACGGGGCGCACGCTATAACCACTGCAGCGAAGAGTGCAGCCAATTGGTGATTGGCTTCAGGTTGCGCCGTGCGACCGCGCTGTCGGCTAGTTTTCTATGATTTCTCTGATCAACACCAAGTGAATGTCGAACCCGGCCCCAACAAAAGGGCCATGCCGCGCAGAATCTTCCCTTCCTCAAAAGGAGGGGGCCTCTCCTTTTACACATACATACATCGACTGCACTACCACACATAGGAGTTGTTCTAAGAGGAGACCACCGAGGGTTGAGAAACAAATGAACTCCATGTATGGCGATGGCATTGTAAGAGATAGTGATGAACCAATTTATATCTGAAAATACTGTAAACAAACACACTTACAAATTGAGCGCTTGGATATAACCTGCAGTTATGTTGCCAGCAGTGGACAAACTGTAGCTTGTTATAGTAATCTCTATATATACGAAGTTTATCCCGGATGGGGCGGTGCTCCACTGGGGAGATACTTTGAGGGGGAAACTAGGAAATGCTTCGTGTGGGTGAATGCCGAATCTCACGTTGCAGAGGGGAGATCACCGCGAAATCTGGCTAAAAATGCGCTAAACTCACGGGAACAAAGTATTTTATGGGACTGGCAACGCGAAATGATCACTCACGCGATCGAGTTGAGATCCAAACTCCTGTTACAGTCACGCTATTTCCTCCACAAGCTGCTTCGCCACTCTCTATATCACGATCATTTTGGCTCTGGGATACTACAATAAAACTAGGATTTTCGACAGCTCGGCACGTTTACTCTCCGCGAAGAGAGAGAGAAAGAGAGAGAGAGAGAGAAAGAGAGAGAGAGAGAAAGAGAGAGAGAGAGAGAGAAAGAGAGAGAGATGAGAGAAGAAAGAGAGCAGAGAGAGAGAGAAAGAGCGAGAGAGAGAGAAAAGAGAGAGAGAGAAGAAGAGAAAGAGGAGAAAGAGAGAGGAAAAAGAGCATGAGGAAAGAGCAGAGAGAAGAGAGAGAAAGAGAGAGAGAGAGGAGAGAAAGAGAGAGAAGAGAGAGAAGAGAGAGAAAGAGAGAGAAAGAGAGAGAAAGAGAAGAGAAAAGAGAGAGAGAGAGAGAGAAAGTAAGAGAGAGCAGAGAGAGAAAGATGAGAAAGAGAGCAGAGAAAGAGAGAAAGAGAAAAGAGAAACTGAGAAGAGAAGAGAGAAAGAGAAAGAGAAGAGAAGAGAAAAAGAGAAAGAGAAAGAGGAAAGAGAAAGAAGAAAAGAGAAAGAGAAAGAGAAAGAGAATAGAGAAAGAGCAAAAGAGAAAGAGAAAGAGATAGAGAAAGAGAAAGAGAAAGAGAAAGGAGATAAGGGAAAGAGAAAGAGAAAGAGAAAGAGAAAGACGAAAGAGAAAGAGAAAAGAGAAAGAGAAAGAGAAAGAGAAAGAGAAAGAGAAAGAGAAAGAGAAAGGAAAGAGAAACGAGATAAGAGAAAGAGAAAGAGAAAGAGAAGAGAAAAGAGAAGAGAAAGAGAAAGAGAAGAGAAAGAGAAAGAGAAAGAGAAAGAGAAAGAGAAAGAGAAAGAGAAAAGAGAAAGAGAAAGAGAAAGAGAAAGAGAAAAGAAAGAGATAAGAGAAAGAGCAAAGAGAAAGAGAAAAGAGAAAGAGAAAGAGAAAGAAAGAGAAAGAGAAAGAGAAAGAGAAGAGAGAAA